AAATCAGCGCAAATTGTTTCCAGATTATATTTTGTATCCTTGAACTCTATTTGTGATATAAAAACGTTGTTCTCCTCTTTCTAAAAAAACAACTTAATCTCTTGTGTGCTTAATACATACGAGTTTAGTGTGCTTATCATTTAAGAAGCTTTTTGAATTTCAATTTTAGCTTTCTGCAGAAACCGTCTTACGGCAGACGGTCTCAGAGTAGGGAAACGTCAAAAAGTGCTCAGCATCTCTATTGCCATACGCTGGAGATACTACTCTCCTCTTATATTGAATATTTAATTGCAAATCACCGTTCGTGAAAATTTTGAAGCAAAATACTAATTCATAGCAGTGACAACTAGAGCTCTCGTTGGGTATTTGTACAAATAATTGTTCGGTATGGTTTTCATCGACGTTATGTACGCTACTGAAAATTTATTCGCAAGCATGTAGGTGCTTGATACACCTAAGGTGATTGTGTGGGTTAGCATTCCTGGCCAGAGTAAAGCGTAACCTCATGTGTTTATAATATTTTGGTATATTATATTATATTTGATGTATTTATGTATGAGAGGAATACATTGTTTTCATAAATGAATATATTTTGCAGTATGAGAGACGTGCCTATATCGGGGAATGGTGTGCAGGCCAACGTTCCCTAATTGTTTTGTTATTTTCTATTATTTCTGCAGAAAAAAATGCGTTGTCATTGGTCCAAAGACCCAACTGGGGGGCTGAGTCTTTGAACCCGTGTTCCAATTTCCTATTTTACTTTTGCGGAACTAAACCGATATTCAACGTTTGTGACAATACGTGCAAATAACAGTCTTCAAGCATTCACCGGCGGATTTGCAAAGTAAAATGAAAGCACCATCAAGTTAAATGATAGTAATGTCTTGGCGCAAGCAATATTTTTCACCTTGTCGCATTGAAGGCAAAAAGTGCGCTCACCTGATCTAATTTTACTACCTCAATGAAAGTCAGTAATGCAAAATGTAGAGAATCCCGCGTGTTGACTAGAAAGAAAGGCGCACATTTTTCTTGGTATATACAAAGGTACCATCGTTAAAAGTGTTTTATTACAATAACAGCTGTTTTTTATATTTTGTTTGGCGCAGTATGGCCTCCGTAGCTGTTGCGCCATAAAACCCCCAAACAACAACAGCAAAATTGTTTTATTACTAGAAAGATATAAACAAAAACACTCTACACCCTTTTATTTTTACAGCGACAAGCCAAACAAAAGTTGGGTGCAAATAGACTTCCGGTCGCTGCGTCTCAGTAGGCTTTACGAGCCTGTTAATGTCAAATGATTGAATTATGATAATGTGCGCTAGAGGTTCAACTGGCGCTACTATACTGTCGCAAATTGAGGCAAACAGCGAATATATAGAGTAATTCGTACATGCTAGGTAGCTTGTAACATTTCTCGGTCAGGCAGACGAAATGATTGGTCAATTATGGGGTATTTCTTTCAAATGCATTGCATTAAAAACGGTGCTAAAACGGCTTCGTGCATATATTTATGTGCACGTTCGGTCTCTGTTAGCGCTAGCACGACGTCTGTGCTTTTCAGCAGGGGGGGATATAAGTGCCAAACGAACAAGGTACATCTGGAAAACCGTAAGACGGCAGGAACTACGCAGTAGCACTGTATCTGTATCTCCCTGTGAATATAAGATCCAAATAAATTTAAGGCCACGTAAGTACTGCTTTATTCTTCCTTGTTTTTGCTAAGATGCTTGTTCTTTGTTCAAAACATCACCCGCACACTCGAACTCTTTGAGATCAACTGCCTGATAAAACCTGCCCGGCATAGAAAATAATAGAAAAGACACCATTCACAGCCCATGTACTTTATAATTTACGTTTTGAATGTTGTGAAACACTCGTAAAGATGTAAAACGGGGTCATTTTTATATAGTAACAGGACTGGCGTATTAGCACTCTAGAAGCGTCACGGAAAAGCTGGCGAGCCTTGATCACACTCTACATTCCTTTCCGTTGTTATTTTGCTTAAAATCGTTGCTTGTTTTACACACCCATTGTGGAATAGATGTTTGGGTCTGAAATATAACGAAACACCCTTAACTGACGAAGAAAAATGCGTTAATGAAAGCCAATACTCTTTTACAATGCTAATAAAGGTACATACGATTCGGTATACGACACAAATCACGAATGTGATCCATGTTATTTTCTAGCAAAGGGACAAAAGGTACGAGCGTTTTTCCAAAGGATGCACGGGAGCGGCGCAAAAGTGGACTCGTTTTTCTCTGATTCAATTTCGCTCCCGGAAGTCGCATAGACTGTGGCGCCAGTTGAAGTTCTAGCCTGCATCATAAGAATTCTATGGCGAAAATATCCTGGGACGATTAAGTTCAACGCAAATAAAGGTAAGGGGGATTTAGCGAGGTACTGGTGCGTATCATTCAACTACAAGATAGGATCGCTCGTCTTACAAGAGTAATAAAAATATCCCAAAAATCACTCGTTAACTAATGCTTTAGCAAACCACCTGATGACTGGACATAAACTATTTTATGAATAATACAAAAAGAGGTGGCACTGTAGGGTTTTTCTCCTTTTATCTGGCTTCAAGTTGACGGGGACGTAAATTGCCAACCACGCCTCCTTCCGGCGCGTTAAAAAAAGGGAGGTAAATCATCACAAGTGGCGCTCTCTTTACAGTCCAGTTAATACTTAGCAGAAAAGTTAGTAATAACTGACTGAAATGAATATGCGTAGTCCGTGTGCTGGCACAATCTGACGATCACACGGTTCCGAAGACCCGGCATTTCCACTTAAGCACTACTGGCTGCTACAGGAGGTTAGAGTTATAGTCAATCGATGGTTTATTTTGGTTTAAACAAGTCTACTCCGCCCTGGTAGTTGTCCAGTTCAAAACATTGGGAGGTGTAGGCCCATTTCCAGGGTGCAGCCGTAAGGGCTTCGAATTCAGAAAGGTCATACATGAAAATTTCACGCGAACGTTGTTTCACAGAAAGTTTTTGTTTATGTTTTTCTTTCTTTTCGGAGGTCGGGTAAGAGGTGGTCAAATATTACAAATGGAACAATAAGGGCGATCGTGGATTTGCTTTGCCCTATACCGAATTCGTCGCGTGAACGCTGGTTTTTGATCTTGCTGCTAAGTGGTCATTGTTCATACATTTTCTTAAAACTAATAGTTAATGCAATCTCTTGCTCAACGCCAGCCTGTGCTATTGAGCCTTAGCGTATTTTTAGTTCAGGAAGCCATCTAAGGGCGACCTTATAAACCAGTGCGCAGACGACAAACAGGCTGGTACAGGATTTGAGAAATACACGGCCTCCGATTTTGCTTTATTTTTAATATTTCACCACCTGAACTTTGACCTCTAAAATGATAGAGATGAGGCTTCTGCTGAGACTAGACTCGCGTGTGCCATCTCAGGTGTGTTCATCTGAAATTTGAATTTTACAAGGCTTGCCAAATATGTTAGTCCCTAGGGCAACACCCCGTATGTATTGCCTTATTCCTGTCCCTATTTTCCGATACGTATAAACAGCACTGGAAGAAATGTAATGTTGACGGAATTCGAATGCACGATTAATATGTAATCAAAAGAATTAACAGGAAACTTTCTTGATCACAGCTTTGTTTGCTTCAACTAATGCTTGTCGTTATGTCCAAGGCATTAGGACGTCAATCATGGCACATTAAGGTAAGCAACCCTGGCTTAAGGTTTCCAGTGACCACACCTGTCGTTTCGCAAGCGTAAGAGGTAGATTGACGGAACCAGGTATCAGAGGATAGTTAGCAGTTATCTTTGGAAATAACGACTCAGGACAATCTTAAATCAATATTAACACTGCCTCCAATATCAGGGTGTAAATTCGCTTATGAAGTTTACCGATGTCGAAGTATTAAAGAAGAAATTGTTTGAAGACATATAACATTTTCTTGGCTTATTTAGGACATACTATTCGTGGCAACTATTCACTTTGTGTGGATAATCTGCTCATCATCAAATATCAACTCTACAAATAGCGGGATGTGGAACAACTTCTGGCGTAAGATCACAAAACGAAACTGACCTTGAAGAGAAAATCTACACCGCCGTCGCCAGTTCTTCATTGGTATATCTATTGCCATCAAACAGGTTTTGGTGTTTTTTTTGTTTTATATTTTTTAAGGTTGTGTCTGCAATATGTGAGAGTGATTTCACCATCCGGGATGCCACACTTTCCATCCTGAATATATGAAAGACGGAGTGCTACCGCATGAGAGCTGACATAAATAGTCTCGTAGCTCATTTTTGTAGGCGATATAAATGATGTTCTATATTAAAATAAATCACAGAGGAAACACCATTTGAGAGCTGCATATTTTTTAGTCAGCAAAATGTTTAATAAATATAAAGATTTATAAAAATAAAAGCTGGTTACTTGAGTTGCAGGCGTGATCCAGTTTGTTCCAAATAATTATTTTCTTTTAATAACATTAGCCACGAACGCTGAATTTCATCATAGTGTACTATTATAATTTTTTGCATTTGTATCCCGCACGTCGGTATATGTCATGAAATCAGAGTTGTTCTACCTAAAAGTCCATACAACTGGGTCATACGATTCGAATTTTGGGGGACTTTAGCAAGGCGTGTGGCCTGTAAGAGATAAAATTAACGTACAAAAACGTTATCTTTTTTATTATTCTGAGCTCAATATTAACAGCTCAATGAAACAAAGAACAATTTTGTAATTACCTTTATTTTAGATAAGTGGCGCACGCATGCGAGCATAAAAAAAATCGCAGGGCAATTAATCTGTCGAGGACAGCCCCTATCATAAAACATAATAACCTAAGGTAATAAAGGGATTTAAAGGACGGTGCCCCGAGAACCGGATGTCGTACATATGTTGGTTAAAGGTGCTTAAAGCTTCTATATAAACTAGAGTGGTGTTGGCGCCGGAACTCAGAAAACGTGAGCAAGGATTGAATGTAAGAAACTGAATATCATCTATACAAAATGATGTATTTTGCTCTCTTGGGAACAACGGCTTTACTTGGCCTGCACTATTCTAGAGCAAGTACACCATACCTGGATCAAAATCCAGCGCTACAAGAGTATCAGGATGAAGCTTCGGTAAACTTTCAGTCTATATCCATTCCATAGAGTAATCAAAAGTTACAGAAACTAAAACTATTATTGATATTAATATAATAAAATTGAGTTCTTACCACATTTCAAATTTTCAGATATTTCCCCTCAAAGAGACATGGTACATGGCCTATCGAAACTTTGAATTAGATCCAGTCTTTGGTGGAGACGCTAAATGCGTAAGATTCAAGTCAAATGGTCCAGGAGCAGACGGCACTTACCCTGCGGTTTTTCAGTATGCTCCAAACTTTTCCGCGTGAGTAACATTACTCTGAACCAAACTCGTTTTAGTAATAATTTCTCTTTCTACAATGTTTTTTCTCTAGGCTCACATCAAGTTTTGAATGTGTACGCTTAGTATCAGCAGATAATGTGTTACAAGATGTCTAAGCCCCACTTGCTTCCCTTTTTGATTGCCCGTGTGTAAGCTTTAAACGGAAGAATGGCAATTCTTGTAATTTCGTAAAGGCACATTTAAAAGTCAACACTAAAAGTGTACTAGTAAAATAAAACCGCGAGCGAATATGTCGTTCTTTAGAACTTTGGGCTCTCGTTTATTCGCCTTGATAACCTCAGGAGTGTTGCTTGTAAATTACAAAATGTTAATATATTCACGCCGTCACTGAATAGCACTGTTTTACAAAACAATGCGAACCGTGCACAATATATGAATCGAAGCATCACAAACCTGTTGAATCAATCCCGTTGTTCTTTAGTGGAAAGCTTTTGGCATGCCCTGCAATGTTTCTTTTATGCCTCTCAGTTAATGGAGTACACAGTACCACTCTCCTGGTGGAAGTGTCCTCATGCGAAAGCATATCACTGCTACATCTTTCGCAACTAGTAAGGTATTTTATGGCATGCTTCGCTTGGGGATCTTACTCAATATTGAGGACTTATAGTATATCATCACGTTGGAAGGTGACGTTTTGAAAAACATAAGCGGGATCATTCAGCTGTAGATTAGTATCTGCACACCCTACATTACACCGTAGATGGGAAATTCGATATCCAATTGAAAACTTGACTCCAAATTTATCCGCAACCAACCGAATGTGTGTTCGGCGTACCCAACTTTAAACAAGGTTAATAACGTCCGGCCCTTTCGTTTCAGTGATGCAACGGTTACCCCCAGTTTATCTCCAGGCTATACTATAGAAAACGTTCTGAATTTCCAGGCTCAAGGTCGTGAGTAAAACATTTCTTCTTGTATGCTTTGGGGACTATACTTCTACAAGTTATGCGCTTCAGCAGTTATTTATATTTATTATGCTCCTAACTAAAGCTTGATATAGGGGGTGAGTCAAAGGGATTGATGCATGGCTGTTCAATGAGACACAAGAAATCGGTTTCTAAACGCATCAAGCCAAACATTTCCACAGAGGAGACTAGCGAACGTGCATTAAGGGTATACAGATTTCACCGAACAAACTTACGTGAGCGGAAACTTAAACTAAAAAACTTGAAATTGCTACCTGCGGTGGACATGTGCTAACCACATAGGTGTCTGACAGGCGCAACAGTCGACGGGTGTCAGCCATGCTCTCTGCGTCGAAAGGTGGGGGTTGGCAATGAGAGCACCGAGTACCGGAATTTCCAGCGTCAGCTCCGGTGATGAAACCACTTCTGTCGGTGGCCTGTTTTGGAGGTGTTCATTCTCAATGAGGCGCCTCACCTAGTCCAAATATTGCCACCGAAACTCCGCCTGAAAACGTCGGCCGACCTCTTTCGTCCTCGGTACTCCCCGAAAGAGAGAGGAACCTTCACTCGCTCGTTGGGCGTGCACCACGAAGATAACTTGCACCTAAAACAAAACGGATAAACGTTGCAGAGAAGAGAAAAGAAGGGGTAATAACCAGCTGGTGCTTATCAGACGACGACATCTACTAAAAATAAATGTCGAAAAAGAAAGATAACAAATCTTTATAATGCAATTAAATGCAAAGGTGCAAGCGAGCTGGACAAGAATAACGAAAATAATCCCTGGAGACCGGGAACAGGGGGGACAAAGGACAAACACAAATCTCCAAACACAGCAAGGTGACTGGTGCGCGGCCGAAAAAATCCACCTGGTCCGGGTATCGCGCCAGGCGGATTTTCACGGTCGCGCTGTGTTTGGAAATTTGAGTTTGTCCTTTCTCCCCCTTTGCCCTTCTCCAGGGTGTATTTTCGTTATTGTTGTCCGACTCGCTTGCTCCTTTGCATTTAATTGCATTATAATCAACCTTAAAATGTAGAAATTCACCCTTGTTGCTGTTAGACTGGTGGCAGCTGATAAAAACAGTTTCTTCTACTGACGTTTAACCCCCTGGTAAGCTCAATTGGTAGAGCGCTTTGCTGGAAATCGGGAGGTCCCGGGTTCGATACCCGGACCAGGCGGATTTTTTCGGTCGCGCACCAATCACCTGTCTGTGTTTGGAGGTTTGTGTTGTCCTTTGTCCCCCTTCTCCGGGGATCATTTTCGTTATAACAAATCAGTTTTATTTTGTTCTCTCTTTATCTTATTTTTTTTTTGTATTTGTATATTAAAATAATCTTGCCGTGATAATTCGTGCCGCAAAAGAACGCATCGCTTCTGACTCAGAAACGTTGTCGGCTATTGCCGAGTTGTTAGGAACCGCCCGTCGATGCCGCTTGTAGCCGAATGGGATCTTACGTGCCGCCATCTGTCACCTGTTGCGCCGAGCAGAAGCCTTTAATTAGCAGACGGCTGCAGTTTTCAATTTCTAACTTTTTATTCAGTAAAGTTTCTTTAGTGAAATGTTTTATACCATGAATTCGCGAATCCACGTTCTTCAGCAGCCTGTATGTAGAATATTAGCTTGATACGTTCAGAAACAAATTTATGCGGTCCGTTCAAACATCCATCGATACCTTTCGCTAATCCTTTACATTGGTGAGTGTGGAACCTGAAAATACGGGGTTCTGTTGGACAATATTTGCATATTAGTCGTGATTTGAAGGGAAAGAGAAGTGCCAGAGGAAATGAGAGGGACTACGTTTCGACCAAACGGTCTTCTTCATATATACTAAAAGGGCAAATGACAGATTAAAATATATACAACGTATATTCAAAAGGCGCAGGAAACACGCCGCAGATGCGACGTCATGGAGTCAGAGAGGAAGGAGGAAAAGTCAACAAATATGCAAGAAATTTGTAAGTCAGTAAGTGGAGGAATGCGGGCGCGGTGAAAGCTTAGGGCAACCCGGCTGACCACGCAAATTATAAAAAACCGGTAGACAAGTTGGGGGGGGGGGGGGGAGAAAGAGAGAGAAGCTGGCGGAAGAGGAATGTCTAATAACCGAAAGAAAGTTTCTTGTTGACACCGGAATGGAAATCCGTCTTTAGGTTAAAAATTAATCTGTTTTCATTATTTTTGCGTGAGGTGGGTGTGTGGAAGCCTGATTTGATGACGACTTCTCCTATGTTGAGTTCGGAATGATTCGTGGCGGAGAAATGTTTAGATACGTGTATGGTGAGGTCATGTTTAAATTGTCCCGTTCTTTCCTGTGTAATTAGTCAGCGGTGTTCTCGGAAGCGTTCGTGGAGTCAGTGGTCAGTTTCACCGATATATGATCATGACGGACAGTGTGTGCAGGAAATAATGTATATCAGAGCAGAAGATTTACAGTTGTGATTGTCAGGGATTCTCATTAGCAAGTTGGGAGGAGGGCCGGTGTGTTTGCACGTAAGCAGTTTCGGGGCGCCGCATAGCGTGGTACCGGGGAACAAAGTCAGATGTTTCGTGGACCGGTGGTTGCCTACAAGAAGGCAGCGTAAGTTGGGCTGTCGACGGTAAAGGTCGGGTGCTCTAGAAATAACTTTAGAGTCTACGAGCTGAGAAATGGCGTTCATGATTAGTTTGCCGAGCCTGGGTATGGAGGGTTGGGACTCGAAGATGAGGGGTTGTTGATATAGGGTGTCGTGCCAATAAATGTCAGAGACGCGTCTGCTCGCATTGCGCAGAAGGCCGAGTTGATAACTCCGTTCAACAAAGTAGGAAGTCATCGTCTTAAGCTGATGACAGAAACCAATGTCGTCGCTGAAAATCCTATGGAGGTGGAGGAATTTTTAGACGGGAAGAGAGTTGATCTGGGATCTAGGATGGTTACCGGAGAACAGAAGGTAGCAATAGCTCTCATTTTGTTTATAGAACACAGAGGTATGAAACTTCTGTTCGTAACTAGTAATCTTTAAGTCTCAGAAGTTGACAGTGGACTTCGATATCAGTGAGGTAAACTTGAAGAAGGTGTGAGCGTTATTAATTGGATTAGTGAAGCTGTCAACTATGAGAGGGTAGCCGAAACCAAAGATGTCGGCAATAATATGATTGTAGAACGCTAGGAGTGGGTTTGGGAAGGAAGTAAAGAACAAGTACTTGACGTAGCCGACAAAGCGTTTAGCTAAAAAGGGGCCATCCTAGTTCCCATCGCTACACCACATTTTTGGTAATAGAAGCAGCTATTCAATTGCAAGTCGTTTAGAGTTAGAGCGAGAGAGCCTGTAGTCCTTCGGCGTGGGGAATTACCGTCTATTGGGGTGCGACGTCTATTGTAAAGAGGGTAGTGTTGTGAGTTGGTGCCAGATTAGACAGGGGTTGGAGGATGTTTGCTGTGTCTTTAACGTATCTGGGCAGGTTTTGTACAATATTCCGAATGACCGAATCGCCAAAAACGCCAAAAGCGAAGTGGGGCACGATATAGTGGACACAACGGGTCGGCCGGGGGATCCAGCTTTGTAAATTTTGGAAAGGATATAGAATGAGGCGGCGTGGGGATGAGAAACTATTAGGCGATTTGAAGCGGGGGAAGGGAGTTGCTTTCGATTGGCAGCTTTACGGTGGCTGTAATTTTATCTTGGTAGGCGGCGGAGGAGTTCGGGAAAAGGGGTTTGTAAAAATCAGGAACGGAAAGTAGTCTGAGGGCTTCCTCGGAGTAGTGATCACTGCACCAGACAACCACAGCTCCACTCTTGTCGGCTTGCTTGATTACCAGGTCAGTGCGGTTTTGAAGGGATTTTAAAACAGTAACGTCTTGTTGGGTGGCGTTGCCGAATTTAGAGATTAGGTTGCTAGAAGAGTTGGCAAGGATGTTACGGCACGTCTGTATTGAATCTGCAGTTTCAGGGTGTTTGGCCCCATGCATATGATTAAGCATAACAGACCTAAGCGAGACATCATAATAATATAAAACTATTCTTTTAATTTTAACAAACAACCCTCACAAAACGTTGTACATATATTTATTCAAACATTCCTTGGGGTTTTGCGTAACGGCACTAAATTAAGATGTGTTCAAGTACGATAGATGCTGATTAAACTCAAGATTACTTATCTGAACAACAAGAATTGATGAATACTTTATTTTTTCTACGAGAGAATTGGGGGAAGTATAATTTTAATTGTGAATTAACGAGGCTGCTTCCCACTTTCTTAACAATATTTTTACGCGCGCCTAATTGTTATAGTTCTCTGACATTATTTAAAAAACATTTGTTTATTATTCATATTCTTTTTTTCCAGAAGCTGCTTCTGTGCAGGGAATCTCAGCCTACACCAACGTCAAGAAATGCGCTGTGTTTCGATTGCCGTACGCAGGCGGTAATGCAGTCATATTTGTTTTTAAATGACGGTTTGCTAAGAGAGCCTTACAATTTTTCCAGAACGTGCTAATGCACAACATAATACTACTATCAGTTGACGTGCGTTGATCCCAGTGTTCCGCGTGTTGTATTCCCGTTTTATATACAAATAGCATTTCAATCGCAAGTAGTAGATGAATGACACTTGCACATGAACCGCCGGAATTGGCGATTGTGTACAGAACACTGTGGTTTAGTCCTTTACAACGTTTTTAGCATTATTATAATTTCGATGTATTCCTCTTGGAAAGAATACAAGTTTTTCTAATGACATTTAGTTTTTATTTATAATAAGCTGACATTTCTTCGAAGTGGTTGTACAGGCCAGCGTTGACATATTTTCACGACTTTTTATCTTTTCAGAAGGGAAATGCGCACTCCTCGTCCCTGAGAGCAAACTGGATAGTATTGAAACCTGCTGCAATTTTATATTTGATCTCCTCTGCGGTAACAGTTTGAGGTTCAACATTTCTGACAGCACCTGTAAATAGCAAGCTTTAAGCGTTCACCATCCTCAATAATAAAGTCACGATGTAAACATGTAGAAAATGGATTCTGGTGTTTTGGTACAATAAACACAATTTGAGCTTTCTTGCAATACATTTTTGACTGCACTTAATCTAATTTTACTTCCTTACTTTAAGTCAGGGTTACCAAATGTAAATAAAAGCCCGCATTGTCCAGATACGAAAATGCAGGGCGTCATTTTTAATATGTGACCCAATGCAAGCATTGTGTTAATCAAGGGATATAACACATGCGTGAAGTTGACCAACCAACACTCTAAGGAGTGCTCGTTCTATTGCCACCAATATTAATAAACTGCAAGGTAGCAGATGCGCGCCTGATGTGAATGAGCACAAGTCATGCCGCGGTACAATCTAAAAGCCACGGGTTTCAAATTAGGAATATTTCCAATTAGCAAAACTTCCTTCGGCACCACATAATAGACACTCATGCTTGATTCGATCTAGTGCTCCAACTTCTACAAGCGGAACCCCCGTTCTGGACAGTGTTTTATCAGTGAGCAGAGCTCATGAACTTTGCTCACCACTACAATTTAAACCGAAACTACGACACTACAATTCGTGGCAAACTGGTTTCTGGAATTATACTTGTGAAATCTGTCGAATGGGTACCCATATCAAAGGGTACCCATATTTCATATCACCATGTTACCTAAATGGGTCGACCAGTCTGCAAAGCTTTCGAATTTCAAACTTGTTTTTCAATATAACTTGAAACGACAATGACCTAATTAAATTTTGGTTACCAAAAGTAAAAGCACAAGAACGCCCAGATTGGAGGAACATCTCCTTCAGCTGGTAAAGATATGTACGAGGGTTTATTAAACCCTCGTACATGCGCAGACCGCATGGAGAACATGTGGTCTGCGCCCTCCTTCTTTTGAGAAATGAAAACAAAACATTCTTTTTCGTCAAAATGAAAATATAGATTTCTTTAGCCTGCCCGATTTGAGATGACACCACACACCCCCACACACCCCCACACACACACACATATATATATATACCGGGTGTTTTGGCAAAGACTTTCAAAAATATTAAAAATTAGGGCGATTGAAAAAAGAAGAAACTCTCTTCGGGAACAAACTAACAGCCACGGCGGACGTCAGGAATTGCCAAAAGCCTACTAATTAGCCAGATAATTAATTAAAACTTGTTAATTAACTTTTCAGTTAGTGGAAATAGGCATATGATTCCAATTAGAAAGTTGCTGAGCGTTATCGAAAAAACTGAATCAGTCATTTTCAGAAAGACTTTAAGCGCTTGAGAAGAGTAGTAGCGCACTAAAATTACCACTCGTGGAGCAGGTACAAGGCTGGGGCTAGATAAGAGGCGCAAAAATCACGCGGGTGCCTTACCGCAACCGCTAGCCTTGTACCTGCTCCACGAGTGGTAACTTTAGTGCGCTACTACTCGTCTCGCGCGCTCAAAGTCTTCCTGAAAATGACTGACTTAGTGGTTTTCGATAACGCTGAGCAACTTTCTAATTGGAATCATATGCCTATTTCCACTAATTAAAAAGTTAATTAACAAGTTTTAATTAATTATCTGGCTAATTAGTAGGTTTTTGGCAATTCCTGACGTTCGCCGTGGCCGGTAGTTGGTTCCCGAAGAGAGTTTCTTCTTTTTTCAATCGCCCTAATTTTTAGGATTTTTGAATGTCTTCGCAAAAACACCCGGTATATATATATATATATATATATATATATATATATATATGGGTGATTTCATTTCAAATCGTGCAGGCAAAAAGGGTCGAAGTTTTAAATTCGCTGAAAAAAATATATGTTATGGCGTAGTTTCTAAAAACACAGTAGCCACAAACAGCAAGTTCGTCGGATTTTTCGTTCTCTACTTACGAATTTTAAAAGAGGCCGCGGCGGAAAGCTGCGTTTTTCACATCCGTCGTGGGCCGGATATTTCGCTCGATCTCCTGCCGTGGATTTTCAGTCCACATTATATTAACGTTTTGCAAGCATTTTGTGAGAATATTTAAAACTCTCTAATATTATTAGATAGTTTTAGGCGTTTTGCTTTTTTTTTCTGTAAATATGTCAAAAACGCCCCCTCGGTCCATTGTTGACTAACTTTGACAATTAAATACTGACGATCTACTTGGGTTACATCAATATTTTTTTGCCTACGGAGAGCCCATAACACGCTCTTTATAGATATTATAATATTACTCATATGTATAAAATATCTCTTGCGGGACGTTTACGGTAATATTATGCAAAAACCAAAAAGTACCAATTTTAAAATCAATTTTCTAAAAAAACCCAGTTTTATTATTTTTTTTCATTTCTTGTGAAAATGTAGATATGGTAGTTGTCTACTGGAAAATCAAGTCGAGAAAGTGTGTATTTTGTTAGTATGTTCTATATGTAAGCCTCAATATCGGAAAAAGCCGTCTTCGTTTTGCAAGACGTAAGTCAGACTAGCGACCTGTGCGTTTCTATGAATTGTGAAAAAGTTTTCTTGAATTTTTGTCTGCGCTTTGTAATCAAATATAAACGTATTTTGTGGTATTGAATAGTGATTTACGTTTTGATAAGAGCGGGAAACTACGAAAAACATATCAATCAAATCAGCAAGCCTAGTAGAACTTCAATATCCACGAGGCGCAGAAGTTGTATTGTTTCGATCTATAAACCTTTTACTATGAACTAGCATGACAAATTATTAGCTGTCGTATTACTAAAAAGTCACCACATCTATTAATATATTATATTATATACAATTCTTTCCGAAACCAAACGCTAGGGTTTGTTCAGCGCACATCGCACGGATCACGAGGGAATATCCTTTCACTTTCGTAATACACAAAAGTGATGACACAGAAACGATCCGAAACACGCGGAGAGTGTGTCACGGAGAGGGGTAGGGAAAAAATAAACAAATAAGAATAAAATTACCCAACTCCGATCTTAACGAGAATTGCGTTAAAAAAAATAAAAGATTTAGGTTCGACCGGTGGCAAGGCGATAGGTCCACACCTGGTGGAGAGTAAGACAAAGAAGTCGACGACACTTAAAGGTAAAACAAAGAAACAAAGGTTTAATAAACACGGAAGAACTCAGCCGCACATGGCAAAAACCAAAACCAACTCGTCCGGGCATTCCCCTAAACGGGACGCAACCGAATGCGTGCGAGCACGCTATCTACAGCACCGTCAGGGCATTACGCCATGAAGAAATAAGCCCAACAACTTAACAATGCTAACGAACAGTTAGTCATAAAACATTAAAAAAAAAAGTTCAGCAAAATAGCACCCGAAAAACAAAGTTCAGCGGGGCGAAGAAACACACACGAAGTATAAAAAAAAAGTCTAAACTCACCGACGCTGAGTCCAATGCCACGACACTGAAGCCTGGCAGGGTGACGGTGTCCAGATGATGCTTAAATCTGTTCTTCACTCTCTTACGCACATCCACGACGGCTGTGCGGAACAGTGGCTGTGCGGAACAAAGTGAAGAATAGATTCGAGCAGCGATGCGCGAGGAGGTAACCGAGACGTAACATAACCTCGAGCCTCATATGGGGAGAGGCGCTTTCGAGGTAGTTACTGCAGTTACTCAAACTTTCTCTTTCTTTTTCCCTTTTTCAAAACAATACGTCAGCCGGCGCTAACTTTTCATCTCGGGAGAGGGCCACTCTTCACAAACCGTTATAGTTGACAAGGAGGCTGACTTCGACTTAACTAGTCTCCGGGCAGAATAAACACAAGTATATTTACCATCACGCTCGTTTTTGATGTCAGTCTCCGGGCTTTGCTGTTTCCAACAGAGATAACTCTTTGGTGCTATCGGATCTCCGCGGAGAGAGATGTTCGCCGCGTTAACGACACATTCGTACCATTTCACTCCTTGTGGCACAGGGTGCGCTGCTCGCTTTACTGTCACGGGCCGTCCTATCTAATACAACGAGCGCGAAAGGTGGTGGTCATCTGCTGGTTCCGAAAGGGCGGGACGTTCATATAGGCGAATGAAGGCCCCGAATCAGTACAAAATCTGCCGATTTCTACACATTAAAAATTTACAACGCCTGCTGGTCTGTTTAGAAGTGTTGCTTTCTCATTTGAACTCCTCCAATGTAGCTTGCCGCCTATAATAAAATTTATATAATCAATAAGAAACAGGGTGGAACTATTGTATTTCATTTTTATGTGGGAACGTTGAAAAAAGGCAAAAATATTTTACCATTTGTGAAGGCGCGCAATCCGCAAGTCTATTTCGAGCCGTAAAAACACGATTTTGTACGAGATTGATAGACGCATTCGAATATGTGTTGAACTTCACTGCGTGAGTCATCCTACTATTTCAAGTCAACCACTGTCAGGCTCGTGCTAGAACAGTAGTGTACACCCGCCGGCAATATAGAGGTGAACACCTTGCCTAGTTTCTTGCATGTTTTACGGCTCCCTAAAGTTATATAAACTCGCAAAGTCTCAAATGGTACGTGGCTTGGGGTCTTAACTTTGCGTTCTAGCCCTATTCTCGAACAGAGCTTGTTCTAAAACTTGCAGGAGCGTCAAAAACAAGAAGGGGACTGTTCACTTTCAAATCGCTCACGGGTGTACTGTGTACGCTAAGGCAAGAGATGCATTTATAAGCGGATAGTGGATGCCAGCAAACAATGACTCAAGAAATCCCTAGCTAAGGACCTGCGGCGGAAGATGCTCGGACTGCACTCTTGGCACGCCACCTGATTCAAGTTTCCGACCACGCAACACTACTCAGAATTGAGAAGAAAACGCATAGAAAAATGGTTTGGAGAATCGGAAGGAACCTTGGTCAGCATAACAACAATGCCCTAGCATCTCGTTAACCCTGATACCCTGCGAAATAAAAAAAAAATAAAAAATTATGCGTTCGGACTTGTCTTTTTTTTTTTCGATGGGGGGGGGGGGGGGCAATACTTTTCAAGAAATGTAACGAAATACATTTCATCCTGGTTGTATCGCGATACAAAAAAAACATTCCAAAATGTATTTTGATACAGGAATACAGATTCTGGTGAAAA